GGAGGGGGAGAGAGAGAAACATTGACATGAAAGGGACACATCGAGTGGCTGCCACCCACACAACCCAACCAGGGCCGGGGACAAACTGCAACCGAGGTACGTGCCCTTAGCGGGAACCGAACCCAGGTCTCTCTGGATCGCAGGCCAATGCTCTAACCGCTGAGCCAAACTGGCCAGGGCTTATTTTAGATTTTTTTAGAGAGAGGGAGAGAGAGAAACATCCATGTGAGAGAGAAACATTGATCGGCTGCCTCCTGCACGCCCCCTACTGGGGATCCCGCCGGCAACCCTGGGCCTGTGCCCTGACCAGGAGTGGAACTGGCACCTCTCAGTCCCGGGGATGATGCTCCACCCACTGAGCAGCACCAGCGGGGCGGTCATACACACTCCTGATATCTGTGAGAGAGTGCTGTGGACTGACGGGATGACGAAGCTGGCTGTCCCCACGGCTCGGGGCAGCAGCCAGGCCGGTGTGACCGACATGTGCCAGGCTGAGTGTTTACATGAGTTACATCATTAAGAAAACCACGCCCTGCTTATTGCCCCAGTTCACAGATAAGGAAGCCAGTGTCAGCAACATGAAGGCATTCCAGAAACCTCACGTGGCCACTGACTGAGGGAGAGAGGATTCCAATGCAAGCCCAAGCCCCCAGGGCCACATTCTTCACCTCGATGCTAGATGCTACACAACCACCTCAGCAGCCCCCGTCAAAGCTGCTCCTTTCTCCACACTTCCCGCAGCAGCCCTGCGTGGAATCTCACTGGCCTAGTGTCAGTCAGCACACCATCCTTGAAGCAGTCGCTGGCGAGGGGTCACCAGGCCCAGAGCACGTGCCCATCCATGAGCCCAGAAGGAGGGCCATTCTCACCAAATGACATGACCGGGTGGTGCCCCCATTTCCATGTAGAAGGGGCTATGGATTGGAAGGAAGGCCATATAGCATTTTGTTTGAGAAACATCCATTGTGGACATGGGGGGTGCGGGGAGTGGGTGTCGCCTCTAGTCCTGGCCTTGGTGCTTCTGTTGATTTCCACTGTCATCTTTGACCAGCAGGAGTGTTAGGAGGGTGTCCCCAGGGCACCCTTGCTGACAAATGTGGGGCAGCCGCAGCCCTGAGGACCCCTGATTTAGTATCTTAACCTCTGGGGCAAGTCAGCTGCTCGTTATGTTCCTCTTTCCCTGCCACCTGGGGAAGGAGCCTGACAGCGCTCTCAAGTCCCCCAGCCACAGGGTCACCACCACCAGCTGGGTGCCAAGTGAGACTGTAGCAGGACCATCACCTGACCTCGGAAGCCTGCCCGGTGAGTATCCAGAGGTGAGGCCGTGCTCCCGCCTGCACTCTGGTGCGTGTCCACCCTCCCCCACCCGCCCTGGCCATGCGCAGAGTCTATAATCATGTAATTGGCACATGTGCATAATGTCTGTGTAATCCACCTTGTCTTACTAAGAGGTGCTGGGTACCAGGCCCTGTTTAGGAGCTGTGTGACCAGGTGTCATTACGAAGCTGAAAAACATTTGAGATGGGCTTGGTTGCTAAGTTAGAGGGCGTGGGTTTGCTTTTAAATAAAACACTGCCAAGCCCTGGCCGAGTCATCCCAGTACACCTAGGGTGCAGGTTCGATCCCTGGGGGCACAGACAGGAATCAACCAATGGCCTGGCCAGTGTGGCTCAGGGGTTGCGTAGACCCTGCACCAAGAGGTCTCCAGTTCTATTCCCAGTCAGGACACCTGCCCAGGGTGTGGGCCTGATCCCCAGTGGGGGGCATGCAGGAGGCGGCCAGTCCATGTTCTCTCTCATCGATGTTTCTCTCTCCCTCTCCTTTCCTCTCTAAAAATCAATAAAGAAAAAAGAATCAACCAATGAATGCATAAATAAGTGGAACAACAAACAATGTTTCTCTCTGTCTCTAAAATAAAATAAAAAAAATTTTAATTTAAATAACACTGCTGGTGAGGATCCCGTAGGTGACCAGCTCCCCTGGTGCTTAAGCATTTTTCCATCTGGAAACTCCCTTCATCTCAGGGACACAATGACTGTGCAAAACCAGGCTCAGTACCAGAATCCCCCTGAAGGATGGATTATGATCGTCAGGAGGGGGGAGGGGAAATGACCCAAACATCCCCGTTACATTTCACCACGCTGTCAGTGCATACTGTGTGGTTGTTAAGAAACAATGTTGTAAAGAGTGTCTTACATGTGCTAATTATATAATAGATGTGTTCAATATGCTGCTATTTTTAAGATCTATGCCTGCACAACTATGCTGAGAGCATGCACACTAAGTTGAAAATAATGATTTCCTCTGCGTTTGAGGTCTGTGGTTGTTTAAAAATGTTTCCATCATGCCCTGGTTGGTTTGGCTCAGCGGTTGGAGCGCCAGCCTGCAGACCAGAAAGTCCCAAGTTCGGTTCCCACTAGGGACACGTACCAAAATAAATAAATAAAATTTAAAATGTTCCCATCTCTATACATCCTTGTCCCAGTACTTGGGGGAAGTGCTCGTCATGCTAGAGATGTAACTTACAGAGGGAGGTGGACAATCAGCCTTCCGCTCGGTGGTTCAATCTCGACCGCAAGGAAAGCAGAGCTCGGTGACCATTTTTGACACGTATTTTATTTTGAAACTTCCAGCAGAGCCATCATCATGAGGTACCTTGCTCAGGAGACACCTGTGAGAATCCAGACTGGAAAACAGGCCGGCCTATCGGCTCCTCCTCAAACCCACACACGGGACAACCAGCCCTGCCTCCGGGTGTGAGGGGATGGGCAACCCAGGGTGAGCTCCGTCTCCCCCGCGTACAGATCTAAACAGGACGGGAGTCCTCACAGGTGTCCATTTCCAGTGCGACCCCGCATGGCCCACAGCGTTCCCCTGGTGCCCAGAAAGACCCCAGGACGGACTCCGCAGAAAGGATCCATCGTCATCAGCAAGCAGCCCTACCTGAAGCGACCCTCCTACACTGGCGCGCCTTTTGATTTTATTCACTTATTTTAAAAGCAAACCAAGAGTATATGGCATCTTTTTAAAAACCGTGTAAACATTGCAGTTTTGGGGGTTAGTTATAATCAGAAGAGATTTATTTTTAAAAAACTACTGGACTTGTTAAGACTATAAATACTAGCCCACCCCTCCACCCATGAAAAAAGCAGTTGTTACAAAAATATAAAAAATAGACTAGCCTCCACCGTTTCACCGGAAATCTCAGCTCTGGGACACATCTGGCTTACGTACCATTCGGTGTGACCAAGCGCGTCTGTCTTGTTAAGGAAGACAAGTTCCCAGATATCGTTACTCGACACTGGCTGCCTTCTTCGTAGGCACTGGGATGCCAGTGACTGGTGACAGCTGGAACTCTGCTATAGCATCTCCTGCACGGAGGGCTGAGCACAGGAGGCTGCTTCCCAAGTTTACTGTCTCTCTCTCCCTGGCTCCTTCCGTTTCATTCTGGGACTTGCTGGGTCTCCAGACTCCCGAGCTGGCCTGGGTTCCCTACCTGCTCCTGCCCATAGCACTCGCTTTCTGGGGGGGCAGCCAGGTGTGCTAAGCCAGGGGAGCGGCACGCTGGGGGAGAACCCCCCGGCCTGGCGAGGGGAGATGCTATAGGACACGTCTGTAGTCCGGGAGGGGAGCAGCAGCAAGTGTGGAGGCAGAAAACTGTATTAGGTTCAAGTTTGACACACTTCAAATCGATACGTGTACTCTCCACAGCAGCCGAGCTGCCAGGCACTTGGGCCAACTAACGGGTAGGAAATGGACCAGATGCAGTTTGAAAGACTCAGCAGACATTGGGGGCAGGGGTGACTGTCAAGTCTTGAGGAGGCTCTTCTGTCCTTAGGACATTTTCTGTTCCGCTGTTCCTGCTGTCGCCAGCAGAGGGCGGTGTGTGCGAAGGTTCAATCAAGCCCTTGAGAACCACTGTTGGGAAAAGCCGGAGGGATCCACGTGCCACCAGGCAGCATCCCTCCAGGTGACTGAGGTATTGCTGGGCTGTGCCCTCCGTCCCAGCCTACTCCTGCTCAAAGGGACCCCCCCAAAGCCCTCATGTGTGCCCGGATCCTCACTGCCTGGTTCACTCAGAGCCTGGCTCACACCTGCTTGTCCCCTGCAGAAGGCAAGAACATTGGCGCCCCCCCCCCCCCCACTGCCCACCGCCACCCAGCCTGGCATCCATGCGACCTGTGCGCCCCGCCTCACCACCTGGCCTGAGAGCTGTCTGCCTCCGGGCCCGGAGGGCGGCCCTCTGAGCTGGCAGTGGGCTCCGGGCGCTCCTGGGAAGGCTAGGTTTCTGCACCAAGCGTTTTATTTCACAGATCACGTGCTGATTCGGGGATTTCCAGGCCAATCCAGGGTTAAGCCATATTTCCCAACATCGTGTTTCTCCAGATCTGCAGCCTTCCCCCAGCACAGCCGTGCTGCTGTGACCCCAAGACGAACTGTCCAAGAGCGCAGCCGCAGATTCAGAGCGCGCCGCCGCAGGCTGGCCAAGACCCTCTACTTTGGTTGCATCAAAATAACAAACAGGCTTCTGAGACATCCCCAGTTCACACTGGCTCGGAAGAGAAGTGCTCCCAACTTCAAGGCACAAGGAAGAAGTGTCCTGGGGCAGAGTGACGACAGCGACCAGTGGCCCTTGTGAGGCCTGAGGCAGAGTCGCTGGGGGGGCGGGTTCCGTCCGGGGCATCAGGAAGGCTGAGGACCAGGCTCCCTTGGGGCCCCGGGGCTCCTCATTTGTACTTCTCCAGGAACTGTAAGTGGAAGTCCTTCACCTTCTGCAGGACCGTCTTCAGCTTCTCCAGGGGGGGGAGGATGGTCATTCTGTCAGGAAAGAGAGCGGCATCAGCCTGGACACAAATCACTGCAGAAAGGGCGAGGGTGACCCCCCGGCTCGGTGCCCCTGCAGCCGTGGGGACGAGGCGGTGTGGGCCAGCTGCAGGGTGGACGGGCCTGCCTTGGCCACGGCCACGGCTCCAGCCCCGACACACCTGGCTCTCGGACCACTGTTCTGTCCTCCACACATAATTGTTCACCCACGTGACACGTGAGCAAAAGCAACGAGCCGGTGGCAGCGATCAGGCCAAGCACCCTCGGCCGTCATGGCAGACGGCCCGCCTGGCGGGGCGCGCTGTCCGTGTTTCCCAGACACGAAGACTGCACTCTGCCTGGACAGGCCTTTCCGACCCCGCCCGGGGGGCCCGTACAGTGAGCGCCTCCGGTCACAGCTGTCCCTCTGCGGAATCCCCAAGTCCTCCCCAACACTCAGCATGATTCCCAGGCCTGAAGGAACCCCCGAACGGCGAGGTGAGCCCCGGAGGGCGGAGTGGCCAGCCGTCCATGTTGTCCACTGGGGCACGCTGCCCGCGACCTTGACCGAGTCAACACTTGGCTCCCAGTGCTGACTAAACTCATGACGTTTCTTTATTTAGTGTCTGCGCAGGGGACAGCTGAGAAGGCCCTGCGTGGAGAAGGTGCTGTGCTGAACAGCTCTGGCCTCAAGCTCGCTCGTCCCCCGAGTTCCCGTCATAAGGGACAGCTGGTTCCTTCAGAGTTTGGATGCAGGACCTCAGCAGGCTTGTGGGGCAGTGGACAAGCTGAGCCCGCGGAGGCTGGAGGAGGAACGGAGATGAAGGAAGCGCACCACCGGCCACATTCCAGATGGTACGTGAGGGATGGAGGCAGCGGAGGGGACCCAGTGGCCGAGGAAACGACCCTACACAGGGTCTCGGCTTGGCTCTGGAGGACAGAATGGGGGCGCGGCGGGGGCAGTGGTGACCGAGGGGGAGCTGGGCACTGCCTACATCTACGTCACTGAAGCCAGACTGTGCCCTATGCTCAGGAGCCCTGGTTCCCAAGACAAGCCTGGGCGCAGCCCCTGGTGCGGAGAGGTGGTACCTGAAGTGGTAGGTGCCTTCCCTCTGCCCAAAGCCACTGCCGGGCACGACGCAGATGCCAGTCTCCTCCAGGAGCTTCATGCAGTAGAACATGTCGGGGGCCATGTTATGGGCCTGCGGGAACAGGGCAGGACGCGGGGTTCACACCCAGCTTTGCACACACTCCACTGAAAACTCGAGCAAGCACAGTGGGAACAGGTTCTTTCCCACAAGGCCTTCCACCCTCTCCTTCCCGGTCCTCCCCCGAGGGCACTTTGCCATTTCTCTTCAGACGGGAGGGAGGGAGGGAGGGAGGGAGGGAGGAGGGAGGGAGGGAGGGAGGGAGGGAGGGAGGGGAGGGAGGGAGGGAGGGAGGGAGGGAGGGAGGGAGGGAGGGAGGGAGGGAGGGAGGGAGGGAGGGAGGGAGGGAGGGAGGGAGGGAGGGAGGGAGGGAGGGAGGGAGGGAGGGAGGGAGGGAGGGAGGGAGGGAGGGAGGGAGGGAGGGAGGGAGGGAGGGAGGGAGGAACATCGACGTGAAAGACACATCAACTGGTTGCCTCCCATATGACCCGGACCAGGGCCGGGACCAAACCACAACCGAGGTACATGCCCTTGACCGGAATTGAACCCGAGACTCTTTGGTCCCCGGGCCGACACTCTAACTGCTGCGCCAAACTGGCCAGGGCTCCTGTCCCCTTTCTATGAGGACTGGCCGGACACTGGACGCTGCTGTAGCTGGTGCAGAACACAAGGACCCTGAACGGCGACAGGACAGCCATGCGCTGGGCACCGTCTGATCCTCGAGACGGAGGGCCAGCTGACCTCTGGGCCCACCCCAGGCAGGAGCTGACTGCGGTGGCCTCCCACCCACCCCGCCACATAGCCCTGTGTCCGGGGCCGAGGTCTGCACCCAGGGGCTGTGAGGGAACACGCTGCTGGGGCACTGTCGTCAGCGCTTCCTGCTCCTCAGTTTGCACAACTTGGGGCACCTGCTGGGTGGTTCTCGGGCCCCAGCCCGGATTCCGATTCAGTAGGTCTGGGTAGGGGCAGACAATGTTTACAAGGTACCGGGGAGGTCTGTGGGGCGGTGAGGACAACACCCAGAAACGCTTGCTTCTCAAGCAGGGTCTGTGGCATCGCCTGAGACATTGTTAGAAACACGGAATCGGCCCCGGCAGACTTCCTGGTCCAAAGCAGTGTCACAGCTGGAGAAGTGGAACTCCGGGGCAGCGGCCGGGCAGAGGGGGTAAGGGGACCGGCCTTGGCTCCTGTGGCTCCGCAGCCTGTGCTCAGCCCTAACGGCATCGCGTTCCTGGCACCTGCCTCCAGGGCACCGCGGGCCCGGCGCTGCCCCCACTGCCCATCGGCACAGCGGGCAGGGCCCACCACGTTCGGGGCCCCCAGGCGCGCAGCAGCCCCCAGCCCTGACCTGAGCGGCAGCCACGGCTTTGGGCGGGATGAAGATGCGAGGGAAGGCGTACATGGCCCCCTGCAAGGGGTTGCAGTGAATTCCCGGGACTTGGTTAAACAGGTCTTCCGTCAGCTTAGCTTTTTTGGCCAGATTACTCAGGACAGACTCCTTCTCCTGAGAGGACAGAGAGAGCTCAGAGTCAGCATCTCCGGAGGTCAGGGCACGGCGGCGGCCACTGGACGCGGTCCCTTTGACACCGGTCACGAGACAAAGGCCAGCTTCCTGCGTGCGTGCAGCCCGCTGGGAGAAGGGCCACACAGAAGCCCTGTGCTCCGGGTGCCCGGCCGCGGGGCCCACAGGCGAGGAAGAGGAAAAGCCGCCACGGCCCTCCCACTCCCACCCCCGCCCAGGGCGTCCTCACTTCACCTCCTGGGGGCTTCAGGTACCCGAGGAACCAAGAGCGCCCCCTGGAGGCCACCTGGAGAGGCTGGCCATGGAGACCCCGAACACACCGAGACGGTGCCCCTGGCTGGGCAGCGATGCAGACGGGCCACGGACACAGACGCACCCTGATGAACTGCTCGAAGGACTCCTCTCCTGGCACCGGGGGGTTCACGACAACGTCCATGGCGGCCTGCCCAGACACGGGTGGGCACAGGCGGACCGAGAGCAGCTTCACCAGCTGGCCTTTGATCTCAGGGTGCAGGTTGACCACCTCCATGTAGCCTCCCCTGTAGCCACACCTGGAGGGTTGGAGAGGGGGCGGGAGACCTCAGCAGCGTGCGGTCGGTCAGCCAGAGCTGCTGTAAGCACCCCACGCCGACACTGAGTGGCCAGGTGCGGCCGATTCTTGCCAGTGGAAGGTGCAAGCCCCACGTGACCCCCTCACAAGGGAGCAGCTCTCTCCTGTCTCTTTCCTCTCACTTCCCGAGAAACGGAGACACTGGAGCAGCTGCCGCAGAGCCAGAGACGGATGCCCACGCTGGGAAGGCGGGCCGCCCCACCGCCCGTCCTTGAGGGGCCTCGAGGGGCACAGCCTGCCCTGGACTCCCCTACCTGGGACTCTGTCATTTTCACGTCTGTGCGGCTGTATCTGGGGACTCTTTGTTATAGTAGCTGAGCCTGAACCCCAACTAATACACTAGCCTTGCCCCAAAGGGGCACAGACTCAGGCCTGGCACCCCCTGCGCCAGGCTGGCCAGTTCACTGGAGCATCTGCCCGAGGACTTTGCTGCCTGAAAACAAAGTCAACCCAGCAGAGCTGAGAAAGGAGGCGAAGGAAGGGCAGAGACAGGGTCCCGCCGCCTTCTCAAAGCCCAGCCAGCCTCGCTCCCGGACTTCCTCCTGAAATGGATGGGTTCCTGTTACTGCTAAAAGCATGCAGGGCGGTGTAAAGTGGAATCATGCAAATACGCTGCAACATACATGCGTGAAAACACACACTGTCAGAACCAGGAGCTCCGACAGGTACTTTCTGGGTTGTGCCTCCGTCCGAGCCGTGACTGACAGGTTCAGACTAACGCCTGCTCGCCAGCAGGTGCCCGAGGCCCGAACCTGGTCTCACCGTCCTCTCTGCCCCCCACACCTCAACCTGAGCGCCGGTGTGACGACACCCTCAATAAATCGCGCCTCGGTAGCATCAACGGCAAAGGCAGGTTCCCGTCTGACCCCTGGACTGGACGCCCCAGAGCGAGCAGACAGCCCGGCCTCGTGTTCGTCGCCATCTGTCTGCAGGCTGGACCGGCTTCCGACGAGCCCGGCCCAGCTGTCCTCACGCTGGGCTCCCGGGGACAGCGCAGCCGGGGGAGGCGGAACCACGTACTCGCCCATGTAGCCCTTGGAGGTGGAGTGGAAGGAGGCGAGCTCCACGTTGCTGGAGTACTCGGGCCCCATCTCGGAGAGCACCTTCTTGAAGGAGTGGAACCTGCAGTCCGGGGAGTACACGTTGTCCTGGTACACCTGCGGAGGGGACAGGCGCTCAGGCTCCACCGCAGCCGGGGGTGCGGGAAGCCCCGGTTCCGAGGCCACGACCAGGGATGAGCCGTGGTGCCCGAGCGGACCTTCCAGCAGGAGAGGCCTCGGGCCGGGCAGACTGACGTCTCCCACGTGCACCCGCACAGTCCCCACACCTTCCGACCTCCTGTGCCCCAGCAGCTGCTCCTTCGGAAGTGACGTTTCCGTCCTTCGTAAGGTACCGAGAGCAGGGCCTGTGCCTGTCCCGGCCGCTCCCTCGGCCTCAACACCCACCCAGGGAGACCTGTCCTTTCCGTCCACGTTCGCCCCCGCCCCCCAGAGCAGCTCCACCCCTCTCCTGGCCTGTGGCCCTCGGCACACAAGCACCCACTCTGCCCCGCAGATGCACCTGCCAACCCCTTGGGAGCCCTGGGGGCCGGCGGAGGCCAGGCCGGCTGCACCCTCAACAAGCTGGCAAGTCTTCCCACCCGTCTCCTCTTCCCAGACCCAGTGCGGAGGGGAGCGGAGGGGTGCGGAGGGGAGGGGAGAGGAGGGGAGGGGAGGGGTGCAGAGGGGAGGGGAGGGGTGCAGAGGGAGCCCACGGGCAGTCTGCTGCCCCCTCTTAGAGATGAAGATCGCAGGCCCATCTGCTACTAACCGTGGCCACAGCTGAGTGGCAAGCGTGTGTGTGCAAGTGTGCACGCGAGTGTGAATGGAGGGACTGAGGACAGAGAAAGCTAGTGTGCCGGATGCTCTGACCAGAAATCACTCAGAAATGAAGATGCAGAACAGGACTGGCCAGGACATCCATCTCCTCCGTGCCAAGCAGGAAAAGAACAGCCGGCCTTGGCTCCAGAGCTGGGGTCATTAAGACCCTCTCCCACAGGACACCGTGGGGACAGCATGGCAGTGCTGTGCCCACCCAGCACCCGCTCTCCCTGCTTGAGAAAGAGCCCGGCGCGCCCTGGAGGTCTGGAGGGCAGGGCGGAGGCCCCACGGCCGGCTCAGGGCTGGGTCACTTCGCACCAGCCGACCACAGGGAGTGGGTCAGCGATGGGTGTGACCCCCACTGCACCAGTGCTGAGCCCCCGGATCCAGCCCCCGCCTGGAAGCCCAGCACCTTTTCTCTTGAAAGTTTAAGCGGTTTGGGTTAGATTTCTGGAATTTGTAACCAGGGTGGGGTGACTTAGGTCACAGTCTCAGCGGTGGTGACCCTGCACATCCTCGCCTCGGGTGGGCTCTCTCCTCCCAACCTGGGAAGTGCAGCCAGAGGTCACGCACTTACCTCGTCAGCCAGGAGGAAGAGCTGTTCTTCCCACGCGAAGTGGATCACGTCTTCTATGCACTTTCTGCTCTGCACCTGCCCTGAAATGCCCGAGAGCTGGGGTGTTGGCGCTCCGCTGTTGCACTGTCCCCAAGGAAGAACCTCACCCCAGCGACCAGGTGACCGTAAGGACCCCTTTCCTCGTGTCTGTGCCTGATGGGTATGTCTTTCCTGTTTTTTTCCCTAAGAAACAGTTATTTCACCCTGGCCAGTTGCTCAGTGGTTAGAGCATCGGCCCGCGGACCAGAGAGACGTGGGTTCGGTTCCCGCTGAGGGCACATACCTCGGTTGCAGTTTGTCCCCGGCCCTGGTTGGGGTCATGTGGGTGGCAGCCACTGGATGTGTCCCTTTCACGTCCATGTTTCTACCCCCCTTCCCCCCTGCTCTATCTGAAGATAAATTTTTAAAAAAATGTCCTCAGGTGAGGGTAAAAAAAAAACGTTCTTCCCAGACAGCCAGGTGCAGGTCTGTGTATACACCTGGCCGAGGAGTTCCGCCCCTATAACATAAACTGCTACGCAGAGAATTTCCTAAAGTGCAGGACTTGCAGCTCCCAGGGAGGGACCAGCGGCCGGAGCTGGAGCTTGTCAGAGATGCCCAGCCCAGCCCAGCCCAGCCCAGCCCAGCCCACCACAGCCCACCCAGCCCAGCCCGCCCAGCACAGCCCAGCCCAGCCCACCGCAGCCCAGCCCAGCCCAGCCCAGCCCACCCAGCCCAGTCCACCGAAGCCCAGCCCAGCCCAGCCCAGCCCAGCAGGGGCTTGTTTCCACACAAGCTGAGAACACTGGTTCTCCTCCCGGATTCTGGGTGCAGCCTGGCCTTTCTAAAGAGCCCCTTTGTGATTCTGATGCGCGACCAGGATGCAGAAGCTGGCTCCGGTCATTTCCCTCCAGCTGCTGGCTAGAATGCCCGCGCACGCCCACTGCAGCCGCTGCCAGTCCTCTGGGCTCCGCGGCCCAGGGGGCGCTCGCCGCTGACGGGCTCGCAGCTGATGCCGGCGGATTCCAGTCACGCCAGCGTGTTCTGGCCCTGACCCAATCCATCCCAACAAAGGACAGAGCAGCCCTGGTTCTCGGCATCCAAACAGCATCAGGACCTGCGAAGCCAGCCACCCAGAGGCCGAAACAGGCAGGACTGGGTTTGTTTGCTTGTTTGTTTGTTTTTTTTTGGTTTTTTTTGTTGTTTTTTTTATCCTCACCCGAGGATATTTTTCCATTTTTTGTACAGATAGAGTGGGAGGGAGAGAGAGGAAGGGAGAGAGAGTGAGAAACATCGACATGAAGGGACACATCGAGTGGCTGCCACCCGCACGACCAACCAGGGCCGGGGACAAACTGCAACCGAAGTACGTGCCCTTAGCGGGAACCGAACCCGGGTCTCTCCGGACCGCAGGCCGACGCTCTAACCGCTGAGCCAAACTGGCCAGGGCTGCTTGTTTGTTTTTAAGAAAAATATGCAAAATTCAGAGTGAATAGTTTTTGGGTTCCTTTGCCTTTTTAAATATGGCATTTAGTTTTTGGGTCTCCAGGTCCACAGCCGTGCTGTGTCTAGAAACACGCACACACGCCGGCGTTCTGGGGCCTGGTTCAGAAACCGGGCCGGAGGCCCGCGATGAGGGGCGAGTCCAGGAGAGGCAGATGCAGGAACGGGAGGACAGCTGACCTCGCCCACAGCCACCAGGCTGGAGGGCGGCGGCAGCGGCCAGCTGGGCTCTCACGCTGGCAGAGCTGGACTGGGACCGGGCCAGAGCAGAGGGGCTCCCCTCACTCTCAGCACCCCGCCCCCCAGGGAAGGGAGCGCACACCTGTGGGGTTCCCGGGATTGATGATGCACAGCACCTTGGGGTCACAGTGCTCTTTGGCCTCCCGCACGGCCCGCCGGAGCTCGTTCACGTTCAGGGCCCAGCAGTTTTCCTCGTCCAGGTAATAGTTCACCTGGACGGCATCGAGCTCGGAGATGACCGCCGAGTAGAGGGGGTACTGCGGGATGGGGATCATCACCCCCGTCCTCGACTTGCCGCCTCCGGACACCAGGATCTTCAGGATGGTCTGCGACAGAGACGCCACGTGTTGCAGGGCCACCGCCTCAGCCAGCCTGGGGCTGCCAGGCAGCCAGAGCCCAGGGCCCATGCCCAGCCTCTCCGCAGCCGCCCGCCGGCCTCCGGTGAAACCGGTGTGACTGTCACTTCCCCAGTCCCACTGTCTGTCCTCATCTGCGGATTGAGGTTTGCTGTGAAGAATAAGCAAACAGCCCTGGCCGGTTTGGCTCAGCAGTTAGAGCGTCGGCCTGCGGACCAAAGAGTCCCAGGTTCGATTCTGGCCAAGGACACGTACCTCGGTTGCGGTTTGTCCCGGCCCTGGTTGGGGTTGTGTGGGTGGCAGCCACTCGATGTGTCTCTTTCACATCGATGTTTCTCTCTCTCTCTCCCACTCTGTTTCAAGATAAACATAAAAATATCCTTGGGTGAGGATTAAAAAAAAAGTCCGGCCAGTGTGGCTCGGTGGTTGAGCGTTGACCCATGCACTGGGAGGTCGCCAGTTCGATTCCCAGTCAGGGCACATGCCCAGGTTGTGGGCCAAATCCCCAGTGGGGGGCCTGCAGGAGGCGGCCAGTCGATGTTCTCTCTCATCGATGTTTCTATCTCTCTCTCCCTCTCACTTCCCGACTCTCTAACATCAATAAAGGGAAAAAAGAAGAAAAAAAGAATAAGCAAATAAATGCTTCCATGCCCCCAGCGCAGGGCCTGGCAGAGGAGGTCATGGTGCGTGCTGAGGGGGACAGAGGCCAGTGTCCCCTGGACATCCTGCAGGGCCCGGCAGCGCCTCCGCGCCGTCCAGTTCCTGGGAAACTGAGGCCGAGCAGCGTGCGGGCTCCTGAAGACTGGCCGTGGGCAGGACACAGGCTCCCAGGATGGGTAGAACAGCAGGGACCAGGGGGACCCACCCCACCTCCAGGCCTGTCTCCCTGCCAGCGAGCTCACACGCTCGCCCTAACAGGCAAGGCTGCCCTGCACGTGGGTCCCCGGGCAGCCCGCACACGCACAGAGATGCCGTCGCTCGCCCCAGTAGTCAGGTATACGTTGTCCGGGTCCGCAGGCACGCCGCCATCCCTCTGGGTGATGTAGGCAGCAACGTCCTCACGGATGCAGTTAACGCCCTGGCTGGCACTGTAAGACCCTGGAGGACAGCGAGCGAGACAGTGACCGGAGGCTGGGTGACCAGAGGAAGGGCGTCCCGCTGCACCGTCGGTGACATCCACACATGGGCTGAACAGAGGGGGTTTGGGAGGTCTCAGCAGGGCCCACGTCCCACCACTCAGCTCTGGAATTGGGCCAACTGTTTAACCGCCTACCTGGGCTTCATCCACCCATCCACCCGCTCACCTGCCTGCCCACCCATCTGTTCGCCTACCCACCCAGCCACCCACTCATCCACTCATTCACCCAGTATTCACTCGCAACCCAGTGTCAAGCATGATTCTAGGCCTTGGCTTCCAACCAGTTAACTGGTGCCCATCCAGCGTCCTCTTCCTCCCTGGGGCTTGGGTCCTCTGACAGCAGAGACCACGACGGCTGGGACTGCTGCTTCATCACGGGGGCCTACACACGGTCCACCACACTGCAGAAGGGGTCGCCCCACAACGCACCGCCTGCCCGCCCCAAGTCTGCAGCCCTGCCCGAAACCAAGCACAGGCCCCTGGGGCTGCAGGGCATGACCTACTCCCCAGCCCGTGTCAACACTACCCTCAGGCGGCCATTTAGGATAAAATCCGGACCGCCACTGGCTGTGCTGGATGTTAGCACAGTGGACGGCTGGGGTGGGGCACAAAGGAGCTGTCTTCCCGCCTCTGGCTCCCCGCCGCCAGGAATCCCCAGGCCCTTGCCCAGGGCAGCTCCCTGTCCTGCAGGCCAGACCTTCTGGCCTCTGCCTTTAGACCTTGTCGGGCTCCCAACCACACTGACCCCCAGAGCTCACTCTAGTCTCTCCGGGTCTCTGCTAAAGACACAGGCCCCCCGGCCTCTCTCCGGGCTGCTCCTCCCCCAGGTTCTGCATCTTACACGCAGGGAGCCTGCCGCTCCCGCTGACATGCTGCCCGTAAGCTCCTCGAGGGCAGGGACCTTTGCCTGCTCTGTGCAGTGCGGCGTGAGCACCTGTCCCCTGCTGGGCCCGCCCTCCCGAGAGGGCCGCCACTCAGGACTCAGGGCTGGTGGGGTGACCACAGCCAGGAAGGTGAGCATGGGGCTTCGGATAAAGGGACAGAAGAAGGGGGAGGAGAGGCGGCGGAGCCCCTGCTGGGCGAGCCGCAAGAATCCCTGCCCCACTTTCCGGAACACTGGGGCACAGCTCCTAGCAAAGCTCCAGGAGCAACTGTTTTTCCTCCCAGAGGGAGGCCTGGTCGCCTGTGTAGCGCTGGGCAAAAATAAACAGGAAAACAGACAAACAGGAGATGAGAACAAAGAGCAGAGGCCCAGGGGCTGGAAACCCGTCTCCGCGGGGAGGGAGGGTGAACACATCTACACAGCGGGGCATCTACAGGGCTGCTCCGGGGGGCCGGGGACACACTGGAGCGGAAGGGTGGGTGGCATGCTGGGAACGCTGAAGCCACCAAAGGGGGCCAGAGGCCTATGACAGTCCTACCCTTCCCCAGGCCACATGGGACAAGCTGGGGCCGCAGAGATGGACAGAACTGGGCACGGAGCTTCCACTTTGCCCACTGTGGCCGAGGCCGGGCACTGGTTAAACCGTCTCCTGGCAGAGGGCTTGTCCAAGCCAGTTCCCGAGGCAAACCCCGATCCAGCGAGGCGGGCGCTGCACCTCCAGGCTCCCAACCCACCAGACGTGGCACTGACCCCACGGGCTCAGCAGACAGGAGGCGGACAGCCGACGGGAACACTGTCCGCACCACTCTGCACGCCGGCCGCAACCCCCCCATACACTCCCCGCGGGCAGCAGGCCCAGGCCCAGGCCCAGAGTCCTTGCCCAGGGTCCTTGCCCACCCTCTGGGACCTGGCGCTGGGGCCTCACCCAGGCTGTTCCCACCACAGGCCTGTAGGATCCGCCGGGCTCGCTTCTTAGCATCTTCTGGGAAGCTGGGGCTGTCCAGCAGATTAGGGTACGTGCAGAGTGCCATCACCTGGGGGACAGGGGCAGAGGCTGGGTTCCCAGCACCCTCCACCCCGAAGCGCCTGGAGGGGCACAGGGAACCCTGGGCAGGACATGGTATGAAGGTGACAACTCTGAGGCCCATGGGCGCTGGGGAGGGGTGGGGAGGAGGGCACTGGGCTCCCTGCAGCAGAAGGGGAGACAGGAGAGACAGGACAGGTGGGGTGCTTGGGCTTGGAGCCCAGGAGTGGGTTGCCACAGGGGGAGCCTGGGAACTGAAGGAGGTGCTGCTCAGCCCCCAGGCCCGACTCCCCGTAAAGGCTCACGGAGCCCGGGGTCTCCTGGGCAGGGGCCGGGGCTGAGAGGGCAGACTCCCAGCGGACCTCCCGCCCATCACCCATTCCCTGGCCAGAACTGAGGACCAGCTCAGCGTTCCCATCTCGGTAACAGAAAATCACCCTAACCCCACAAATTAAGAGGATTAAGCAAGAAAATGTTTGCACAAGTGCCAGTCAGCCCCAGCTCTCCAGACAAGTCTAAACTGGCAGCTCAGGGCTAAGACAGGGGCGCTGGGGGCTGGGGCTCACGGCTCTGACCCCGCGGGGTGCCTCCCCGCCGGCTTTTCTCCCTCTGCACAGCGGGCAGTGCCCCAGCCTCCCCCCTCCCAGGGGCCCTTTGCCGGTCAGAAGAGGGGGCGGGGGCTGCAGGAGGCCAGCACCCGGTGGCCCCCGGCCATGGCAGGCCAGCGCTGGAAATGTCAGCCAACCAGAATGGCTGAGGCAACAGGAGCCTATTCATGCTGGGGCCCCAGGCGTGGGGGGGGGGCTGCTGACAGAGGCCACGCTTCCAGGACAACCAGAGCCCTCTGACCTCCAGCCTCCACCTCCCGGGCGGAGCCGCCCAGTTCGGTCTGATCCGTTTCTCATCCCGGCCCAGCTGTGTGCATGGGCAGCTGGCCTGCTCCCGAGGTCAGTGCCAGCCCTGTCTGTTCTACTCCGCGCCCTGTGACACCCCCTGCAGGCGGAGCCCCTGCCCCTGGCCCCTCGGACAGCGGGCAGGGTAGAGGGAGCCGGGGTGTTCTGCTTCCCTGCCTCCCTCAACCTGCTCCCCGGGCCACACAGGGAACACTGTTTGCTCCCAGACAGGCCCCAAGTCCTCATGGGGAAAAGCCTCCACCCCAGCTTGTCCGCAGCCGCTGTTCGGGAGGCCCTCTGGCTTCTGCCCCACCCGCCAACCCCACAGATGTGGCCCACACAGCACCTTTACAGCTGGTGCTCACACTGAACCCTGAAGCCGGCCTCCCGAGAGGGCAGGACAGGCTGGGTCGCACCAGCAAGGCAGCGGGAGGGCAGAGGCCGGCCGCTGCGTGTTCTGCTGGGCAGCGCCAGGCCTTCACGCCCCCCGCGCCACCTGGACCAACACTCAGCTGGGAAGCCTCCGCTACCCACCTCTCTCTCCAGCGCCCTCGCCAGCCAAGCTCCGAACCCACCCCAGGACCAAACACCATGGCAGGGCCTTCCTGGGGCTTCGTCCACTGGAGCACACACCATGGGTTCGGAAATCGTAGACAACTTAGAAAGGGGAGGAGGCTCAGGGAGAGAGCCAGGGGCATCGGGCACTGGAGAGGGTGCTGCTTGAGGGGCGCCTCCCTGCGGGGTCTGCGTGCCTGCCGTGGCCTGAGCGGCTGGAGAGGCAAGGAGGCCGCCTCACTCCCTGCCTCCCCGTGGCCGCGGCTCCCGAGGCCAGCTCACCTGGCGGAGGAAGGTGATTGGCTGTTGGCCCATGGCCTGGGCATCTCCGATGTTGGCACGGATGACCTCAGTGAACGGTTTCTTGATACCCTGGGCAGAGAGAAGGCAACAGCTGGTTACACCCGCGGCTCCCAGACCCTGGATTCCGGAGACCAGCAAGGATCCCACAGGATGTCAACACGCAGCCCTGTTTGAGCCCCGCCAGGTGCTGGGCACAGGGCCAAGCCCTTGACGTGCCTGGTCCCACTGAACCTTCACAACCCCACGAGGAGGAATTAGGGAGAGTCCCATTTCACAGGTGCGGGCGGTGAGGCCTCAACGGGCAGAGACACCTGCCCAAGGCCACACGCACAGTGAAGACGAGTGCTGAGGCTGGAAGCCAGGCCCCGAGAGCATTCGGAACCGCTCCTCCCGAAAAGGCCGGAAGCACCCCCCGTTCTGCCAGGGCACCGGGGCAGCCTCAGAGCAACGTCTGAGTGAGGGTCGGGGCCGACGGGCGGAGGGAGGCCAAGGTCAGCAGGGAGAGGGTCCCACGGCCCCGCTCCCACCCCAGGACCGCTCTGCCTGGGCGGCCCGAGTAAATGGCCAGGGGACCGCGACCCGCCTCCCAGGAAACGCCCATCAGCAGGGACCTCTCAGGACTGTTCCCGCAGCCTTGGCCTTGCAGAATGCAGACTAGGGGCCGATTGTAACATCAAAACAAACAGCATCAGGGAGGAGAAGACTGGCGAGAGCAAAATCGAGGCCACGGCCAGAGCACAGAAAAGAGATGCCGGAGAGCAGAGAAATCAGAGGCCCCAGTGACGACACCACTGGAGAGGGGACAAGGACACCCGGGTTTGGGTGGGGGGCGGTGGGGATCAGGAAACGCGGGAAGTACACCCAGCTCCCTGATAAATCCAGACATGGCCGGTGGAAGAGTTAGAATCAACAAACAGATCCAAGCACCTCCTGGGGCAGCTGGAAGGATTATCTGAGATAAACAGTGTGAGAACCACTTGGCAGAGCTCAGACATCATCATCTTACAAAGCCGGACCGAGATCGCGGCCGCCAGGGCCACGGTGGAGGAGGAAGGCGGCGGCAGCACCAAAGGGCCACCCGGCCACCACCCCATCTCAGGCTGCCCTTTCCCCCAAGGCACCCATAGAAACTGGAAAGATGGGGTTCCATCATTTCAACACTAGCTTTTTTCTCCATTTCTCACAATGTGTGGAGAAAATCAACTTTAGCCCTGGCCGGTTTGGCTCAGTGGTTAGAGCGTCGGCCTGCAGACCAGAGGGACCCGGGTTCAGTTCCCGCTAAGGGCTTGTACCTCGGTTGCAGTTTGTCCCCGGCCCTGGTTGGGTCGCGCGGGTGGCAGCCACTCAATGCGACCCTTTCACATTGATGTTTCTCTCTCTCTCTTCCTCCCACTCTATCTGAACAAAATATGGAAAAATGTCCTCAGATGAGGGTAAAAATAAATAAATAAATAAAGTACCAATTGTGTTTATAAAAAAAAGGAAAAAATCAGCTTTAGAAAACTTTCCCTTTTTCATCTTTTTTATTTTTTATTACTTTTGTCTTTTTTAATTCCTCACCCAAGGATATTTTTCTACTTATATCAGACAGAGTGGGAGGGAGGGGGAGAGAGAGACAGAGAGAAACATCGATGTGATAGAGCCACATCGACTGGTTGCCTCCGGTAAGACCCGACCAGGGCAAGGGACGAACTGCAACCGACGTACATCCCTTGACCAGAATCGAACCCAAGACTCACTGGTCCGCGGGCCGACATTCTAACTGCTGAGCCAAACCGGCCAGGGCATTAACTTTTTTATTTTTATTTTATTTTATTTTTTATTTTTTTATTTTTTATTTTATTTTTTATTTTATCCTCACCCGAGGACATTTTTCCATTTTTTGTAGAGATAGAGTGGGAGGGAGGGAGAGGAAGAGAGAGAGAGAGAGAGAGAGAGAGAAACATCGACATGAAAGAGACATATCGAGTGGCTGCCACCCGCACGACCAACCAGGGCCGGGGACAAACTGCAACCGAGGTACATGCCCTTAGCGGGGACCGAACCCGGGTCTCTCTGGACCGCAGGCCGACGCTCTAACCGCTGAGCCAAACCGGCCAGGGCAACTTTTTTATTTTTAATTAATCCTCACCTGATGACATTTTTCTATTGCTTTTTTAGGTAAAGTGGGAGGGAGAGGAGAGGAGAGGAGAGAAACATCAGTGTGAGAGAGACATCATCGGTTGCCTCCCACAGGACCCTGACCGAGGCCACGGATCAAACCTGCAACACAGGTACATGCCCTTGACTGGGAATTGAACCCATGACCCTTCAGTCCACAGGACACTCTAACCGCTGAGTCAGACTGGCCAGGGCAACTCTCCCTTTTTCAATCGGTGACATACACCTGGAGTAAAAGCCAGTGGGCTTAAGGGATGAAAGCAGCTGCCAATCAAGTGTCCCTGGCTCTCCTTTCCACCCCTCGGCCCCTCCCCCGTAGACATTCAGCTGCCAATCAAGTGTCCCTGGCTCTCCTTTCCACCCCTCGGCCCCTCCCCCGTAGACATTCAGCTGCCAATCAAGTGTCCCTGGCTCTCCTTTCCACCCCTCGGCCCCTCCCCCATAGACATTCACCTGCTTTTGGAGGAAGCATGGGGGGCTGAAGAGGGTACCCCAGAAATGGCCTGGACCTTCATCAACAGGGCCTGATAAGTCTCCAAAAGCTGTTTCGGGGGGAAAGAGGCCTTTCAATTGCCTCCTGCCCTCCGGCCGAGTTCTTCAGGGCTGGCCAACACAGAAAGCAGTCCCGGGGGCAGGGAGAAGGGGCCAAAGTGTCCTAAAGGCCAAGGCAGGGTGGTGCTGCCCACTGCTCTGGGACTAGGCCGGGTGAGAGGCACCTGGAGACAGGCCAGGGGAGCGCAGCCTCAGGGCTCGGCTCACAGGTGGGAGCCAAGAGGTGTGGAGGGGCGGGCCTGACACACCCTTGGCCTGGCCTGGGCCCTGGAACAGTCTCTGTCAGCCTGGCCAGCCGATGCAGGACTTCCATGGCCTGGGCACCGTCCACTCTTTGGCAGGGACACATCTGTCACATCTGAGAGCCAGGGGCCAGCGCAGGCCTGCAGCAGGGTCCGGAGCTCCCTGTGCTGGGCCCTCCCCTGCGCCGCTCAGGGCCCGCCCACAGGAGCTGGGGACACCGAGCACCTCCTTTCTCTCCTTTCTCGGGCCTGGCTGCCATGACAGACGGGCTGGGACGGGGGAAGCTGGCTCTCTTGAATGACAGGGTCCAGCCTGCCACGGTACAGAGGAGACTATTCTGGACAGACTCCCGCCCACACGGACTCCTCCAGGCCTGGCAGGTACAACCAAGGGTGGCCTGGCCTCAGCCCAGCCCAGAGGCCTCTCAGGTCAGCACGCAGCATCCTTGTCCCCTCACCACATCCGAGCCACCGTGTGATCCACCTGCACACATCCTCCCGGGTCAGCACACAGCATCCTTGTCCCCTCCCCGCATCCGAGCCACCGTGTGATCCACCTGCACACATCCTCCCCGAGCTGACTCCCTGTGGGGCACTCAGATGAGCTCCTGCCCAACGGGTTCCCTTCCCACCACTGGGCTCAAGTAGGGATGGGGGAGCAGGGTGTGGACTCTGAGGATAGAGGCTTTCAGAGAGTGTCAGTGGGGAGGTACCAAGGTCCTTCTCACTGGCCCAGCATCACACGAGGGTCAAGGGGACCAATTTCTTCTTTTTTTTTGGTACATGCCCCTAGTGGGAACCGAACCCAGGACTCTCCGGTCCGCAGGCCAATGCTGCAACCACTGAGCCAAACCGGCCAGGGCTGAATTTCTTTTATTTATTTTCTTTATTGATTTTAAAGAGAGAGGAAGGGAGACAGAGAGAGAAACATCGATGAGAGAGAACACTGACTGGCCGCCTCCTGCATACCCCTCACTGGTGATCGGGCCCACAACCTGGACATGTGCCCTGACCAGGAATTGAACCGGCAACCTCTTGGTGCACGGGTCAATGCTCAACCACTGAGCCATACCAGCTGGGCAATTTATTTATTTACTGTTTAATCTTCACCTGAGGATATTTTTCCATTGATTTTTAGATACATAGAGTAGAAGGGAGAAAGAGAAAGAGAAAAACATTGATGTGAGAGAGACACATCAACTCTTTGCTTCCTGCACTACCCCCACCGGGGCCGGAGATCAAACCTGCAACCTAGGCACATGCCCTTGACCAGGAACCAAACCTGGTCCGCAGGCCGACGCTGTAACCACTGAGCCAAACCAGCCAGGGCACAAATGTCTTTCTTTTTTCTTTTTTTATCCTCCATTTTTCCATTTTTTGTTCAGGTAGAGTGGGAGGGAGAGAGAGGAACAGAGAGAGAGAGAGAAACATCGATGTGAAAGGAACACATCGAGTGGCTGCCACCCACACAACCGACCAGGGCCGGGGACAAACTGCAACCGAGGTACGTGCCCTTAGCGGGAACCGAACCCGGGTCTCTCAGGACCACAGGCCGACGCTCTAACCACTGAGCAAAACTGGCCAGGGCCAAATGTCTTTCTTTTAAAGTAGCATCTAAACTCTAAAGGAAACGGCCAATCAGATTTCATCACCTGGGCCTGGCCCACCCAGGCCTCCCCATCTTGGTTCTCAGATTGCGATGCCACCTCTGTGGTTACTTGTATTGACAGCAGTGATCAGCTCTTCCCTCCAGCTAGGAATGTTTTGCCCCAACTGTGTGGACCCGACAAACAACAGAACAAGGCCATTCCTCGGGTGCCAACTTCCACCCCCCCTCCCGGGAAAGCAGGGAAAAGTAGGTTGAGAAAGAACTGATATCTTTTCAAACTCCTGCTAAATGCACCTTTTTTTTAATCCTCACCTGAGGAATGATTCCACTGATCTTTAGATGGGATTGGGGGGGGGGGCACACACACATACACATCTACTGGCTTCCTCCTGCACAACCCTGTGACCCCGACCCCGAACGAGGCCAGGGATCGAAACTGCAACCGGGGTACATGCCCATGACCAGGAATCAAACCTGCGACTCTTCGGACCAAGGGCTGACACTCT